ACTGAGGAATTAAATTTTCTACTCACCCATATCCACTTTCCCTTCTTGGCCTCATTCTCCCAATATAGTTCTATCACAATTTTTGGTAAAATAAGTCCAGGTTTAAATTATTAAACTGTGTCAAAATTGATCATTGATGAGCTATGGAGTGATTTATATGTTTCCTTTTTCATAACAAAGTTAATTGTGACCATTTTGTTTTTATTCATTGTCTTTGTTTTCTGTTTATCTATTGCAATTCTTTTCCAGTTGACCACACAGATTTTGCAGCACATGAATGACTTTTACAAATGCTCCGTAACTAACAATTTCTGATGTCTAATCTGGACTAGCAGGTCCTTAAACTGGGAGCACATCTGCAGTCCTAGTATTTCCCATATTGCTGGGTGTCTTGACCCATGATTTATCAAATACCACTTTTTTCTCGCTTTTGTTTCCAAGTCTTCATTTTTCTCCCAAGTTTTAAGTTCGGAAATTCATAATTCTAGGTGATTTATGGCTTAACATGGGATGGCACTTTAAGCTGAATTAGGTATCCTTCTAATTGGGAAGGTATTGCTCTGCAATCAAAGTTGCTGTTGTCTCAACAATTATTAGCAAGTAGAGATTGGACATTGATTCCAGAGATGAGGAAGAGGTCATCCCTGAAAATACAGATTTGGTAGTTATTGGCATATAGGTGACACAAATGACCTGGGATGACAGAGGAACACAGGGATTCATTCCCAAACCCTGAAGCATGTTTCTAATTTCTCAGATTTACTTATTGAATATATTCAATTAAATTCCTCCCTATTACCTAAAATTTTATTACAGTGTTATTTTCTGATTTATCATAGCAGGGAAACTTTTCCAATTGCCATACAATCACCAGTACCACTGGCTTCTCAGTTTCCTACACTCAGTACCCAGAGGTTATTTTTATTTCATAACCTATGGACATCCTTTATAACATGAAAATCTTCTGATTCTTTCTTCTTTCTAGAGGGTATTCAGGTTTTATATTGCTATGCATTTTGCTTTTTAAAATATCCCCTTTCTAGCCATAATTTTCACTTCTTATTTACATATAATTCTAGAATATTCGTGTGCGAACTGTTAAAGGCCAAGACTATGTTTCAAAAACAGGGGCAAAATTCCATGGAAAAATGGAACAGAAATTTTTGTTAGTCGACTGCCAAAAAGTCATGTACGGTTCTTACAGGTAAGATCATTGTGTTTACCTTCAGTGTTACCAATCATTTAAATAATTTATTAGTTTCAAATTTTAATATAATCGGTTTAGCTTTCTTGAAAATAAAAAAGAACACTTGCATGGAAGCTTGGAGACCTAGGTTTGAGTTATGGTTCTGTCTCTGAAGAACATTGAGACATTAAGACAGATGAGGCAAGTCATATAACTTTTTCAGCTTCATGTTCTTCATCTAGAAAATGAAGAGGTTGACTAATATCTAAGAGAAAACAGCTCCCTAGAGTTCTCTACAGCTCACCAACACTAAAAGTGGTTTTGCTCCTTATGAAAACACTACATAGTATGAGTTTAATAACAATTGTGCATAAAAATAGAAGCTGTTTGCCACTTTGAAAAACCTGTTGATTGGATTTCTCTTGTTTTGTATTATTAAGAATCTGATCAAAGCAGAACTGGCTGCCCAGTCCAGGTCAGGCTGGCTTCAGAGTATAGGCACAGTCCTAATATCCCCTTGTAAATAAATTCCCAACATCAGTCCTAAATCAGATACATAATGAAGCTATATAAACAGACAGATAAAAACACCAGCAAACACTTGTCAACTGCCGGGTCACTAAGGCAGAGTAAATTCATTGTTAAAGACTAAAGGAAGACTCCAGGACAGCTGTGGATATAAATAGGACAGCGTAAGGGGAAACCTTTTTCTCTTCTCTTAATAACTTAAAAAGTCCATGAAAAGGAGGTAACACCCTGAAATGGATAGCCTTGAGCAAGTTACTTTATTTGGTTGCTGCCCTTTAGTTTACTTGGCTGTAAAATGAGGATAATCATAGAACCTACCACATGGCATTGTTATAAGGATTAAATGAAGTTAATATATATATCCAAACTCCTAATGTTAGCTATTATGTCAGGACTTGTTTCAACTGTTACTTTCTGCTAACTTTTCCTTTAAGCTCAGAAAGCCTTTTTAAAAAACATTCTGTTTGGAATTCCAAGTGAAAACTTGTTAAGAACCGAAATTACAACTAGTGCTTGAAATTAGTGAGTTCTTTTAAAGACTCATTATAAGTGAATATATTTGTTCAGACCCTCTTGGTTTTAGAGGGTTTTTAATTGAAATTTTAATTAAAATTGAGTGTTCACTTGGCTTCTGTAGAATGGTGTT